AACATTCACCTACAGCTGCTCACAGTGCCTCAGCTGAACTGCTTCAACAAACAGAAATCCTGAAAGGAGTACAAACCTATCGATAAAATGATGATGTGTTGATAGGGGGTGAAGAGGAAAGTGCAGTACAAGATATATAGAATAAATGAAATGAGGAGGTGATAGAAGCGCCCACTGCCAAATGCCAAGACCCCTCTGAAGAGGTGACACTCCCGGGAATCTGGTGGATTGCAGGTCAGGCTGTAATCCTGCACCAAACCACTACAAAATTGGATGCCACAGACACTCCTGCTACTAGAAAGGAACTTCAAGAGATCGTGAGTACCTCAGGATACCAGAGAAATCACGTTCCTGGATTTTCTGTGACCTTGTGTGCTTTAATGAGGAAAGAAACAGACCTTGATAGTGATAATAAACAGGCTTTGCAAACACTGATAGAAGAGCTGAAAATATATCAGTCACTTGGGCCAGTTCACCCCAGTTATCCCATAATAGCTGAATTGGGTTTTGCTGAAGAGGGGACTTGACTGGGAAAGGGGATTATCATCTCTGACCTGAGCTCTTAAACAAGTAGAAAAAATTAACCAGCGTCAGCCTTACAAGTCCGAGGACCTTTCAACCTGTCAGCCCCAGCAGATGGGATTGCACAGAGACCAGCAGCACACAAAGCTGTGCCTGTGACTCAGGAGTCCTGGATCAAATGGGTATAACTGAGGGGCTGACAAAACCCTCCAAATTATAAATAGCTGTGCCCCCCAGACACACTGGCTCTGCACCAGTCATGTAAACAGAGCCCTGTACTTGATGCTCCTGCAGTTACATCAGACTGAAATTTAAAAGCTGTCTGATTTACTGATGCCTCAGCCAAACACAGAGATGGTAGATGGAAGTACGGAGCAGCTGTTCTTAACATTCAGACAGGAAGGGGAGCAGTAGAAGGAGGAATGGGAAGTGCACAGGTGGGAGAGGTGAAAGCTTTACTGGCAGTAAAAGAGAAGGCAAGGGCAATGTATGTTGATACCCACGCAGTCTGGGCTGGTGCCACAAAGTGGTTGTGTCAGTGGGAAGCTTCAGGCTGGCAAGTGAATGGAAAAGAGGTTTGGAGGAAGGAAGGAAGGAAGGTTGGAAGTGGTTGCTGTCACAGGCTCGGTGCCCACCAATCCACACAAATCGGTAAAAGGATAAAGCCTTGCAGACTTACTGGAACAACCAGCTGGATCAGAGGACAACAATCAAAAAGATAAAAATGGATCTGTTGGAAGATCCTCAGCGCTGGCACCGACTGGGCAAGCAGCTACACTGTCAATTAGGGCAAACTGGACGGGAAGCTTTATTTTTTTAGCAGCACAAAGCAGAGGGTGGCCGTTGAGCAGAACGATTTGTAAAAGGCGTTCCCACACAAAAGCAACAAAACATATATATACACACATATATATATTTCACAAGCTTTCTTGAGTCCTGTGTCTCTTGAAGCAACTCTAAATGATAAAATTGAATGACTTGTTTGGATGGTCCCTAAGCACAGCAGATTTTCTGAATTAAATGTTATGCCCTGTAGTTGTAATATTGTTATTAATCAGAATGTCTTTTTATTCTTTTTATTAGTAGTCATTGTATATATGTGTCATACCTAATCCAACAAATGAGGATACCGACCACTCCAGAAGTTCATAAAATTGAAATAACAGAATCAATAGTTAGTTCTGTATTATGCTCAGGTTAATACTGCCAACTCTGATTTTTTCTAAGAATTTTGCATGTAAAAGTGTAAAGTGTGATTATAATACAGCTAACATCCTTTTAAACTACACGAGTTGAGACAAAATAGTAAAAATTAGGAGCTTGATGTATCTCAACATATTTGACAACAGTGTACTGATGCAGTGGGTGCTTTTATAGCACAAAGGTAAGAGTTTGTACTGCATTCCAAGCACCAGTCGGGCTCATCACCCCAGATCAACACACTCTTCCTAGAGTGTGTGTGGAGTCTCCTCCCTTGCAGTGGGGACAACCCTTCAAGGATTCTCTTCAAGGTTTAAGAAAAAGAGATCTGCCCACAAGCACTGGGATGGTGTGTCGAACTAATCTCTAATGACTGTTTCTTTTTGCTGATTTTAATATAATTACTTTGACATAGTGCACTATACTACACACTACCAGTAATTTCGGTTTTTGTATTGTGCAGTAAATAATTTTAAGATCTTTTGTCCATTTGTCATAATAAATAATTCCTTTTATATAAATATAAATATATAATAAATATAAATATAAATATTTATATAAATATAAATATATATAAAAATATATAATATATCTATATATAATATAGATATATATAATAAAATATAATATATAATAAATATACTAATAAATAAAATAATAAATACCATAAAATAAAATGTATAATAAAATAAATCTATAATAATATATAATATATTATATATTTTTATATTTAAGTATATATAAATAAATATTTAAAAATATATATTATATATAAATAAAATGGCAAACCCGGTTTGCCATCTTTAATCCTGTGTGACAAAGTTGTACTTACATTGTTGACAAAGTCTCGGGGGCTAAGATGGGATCCAGCTACCCCCAGGCTCCTCTCTGAGAAGTTTAGAAAGCCAAGGGGTTCTTTTCTTCAACTCGTGACTCAAGAGGAGGGCTTCTCCAGCCCATTCCAGTATCTAACTATCTTTTCTGTGCAGACATTATTCCTCATGGGCAGCACCCCCTCTGCTGGGCCACTTTCCAGCCCCCCAGCCTGGAGCTGCAGGGGGTTCTTGGGGCCAAAGTGCAGGACCTGGCACTTGGTCTTGTTGACCTTCATTCACCCTGTTGGTCTCGTCCCACTGATCCAGCCTGGCCCTCCAGCACATCCACACTCTCCCCCAACTTGGTGTTGTCCACCAATTTGCTAATGATGGACTCGATACCCTCAGCCAGATCATCGATAAAGATATTAAAGAGGGCTGGGCCCAACACTGATCCCTGGGGGACATCACTGGTGCCCGGGTGCCAACTGGATGTTCACCACCACTCCCTGGGCCCTCAACCCAGCACAGAGTGCCCTGTCCCAGCTGTGGGCTGCACCTTTGCCACGAGTGTGCCGTGGGAGACGGTGTCCAAAGCTTTGCTGAAGTCCAGGTAGACACATCCACAGCCTTCCCCTCACCCACCGGGTGGGTCAGCTGGTCCCAGCAGGGGATCAGGTTGGTCAGGCAGGACCTGCCCTTCCCAAGCCCGTGCTGGCCGGGTGTGCTGGTTCCGGCCAGGATGGGGTTAAGTTCTGCAGCAGGCAGGGGGAGCACAGTCAAGGCCCCGGGCTCGTTCTGTACCCACCCGAGGGGCATCTCCTCAGCGTGGTGTCTTTCCCAGCTGGCCTCGATGACCTGTGAATTGCCTCCTGTCTTGTACACTGTTAATGGCATTGTTGTTACTGTTCCTTTCCTTATCTCATCGCTGCTTCCACTCCCCTGTGTGTGTGTGTGACACCTGTGTCCATGTGACACCTGTGTCCGTGTGACACCTGTGTCCGTGTGACACCTGTGTGTGTGTGACACCTGTGTCCGTGTGACACCTGTGTCCGTGCCTACCCAGCTTTGTGTCCCCCAGCACTGCCATCCTCAGGCCTCCCTGCGATCTCGGTCACCACCCCCCATCCACCCCGAGCCTGGGGGGTCCCCCCAAATGCCACTTCCATCCCCAGAGGCACAGCAGGGGCTGTGGGGGACGGGCAGAAAAGTGGGGCCTCCACGGAGCACGGGGATTCATCCCTGCTGTTCCCCCCGGGGTTGGGGGCCATGGGGGGAGTCGGGATGCCCCCGTGCCCGTGGGTCTGAGACCCCCAGGTGTGGTGTCTGTCCCAGCATGTCCCCCCTCCATCCCTGTCCCAACAGTGCTCCGTGGCACATGCGGTCCCTGTGCCACATCCCCGTGACCCTCCCGTTCCTGTCCCCCACCCCGTGCCCCACAGTGTGTCCCTGTGCACCACAGTGTGTCCCCACTGTGTCACTGTCACCCCCCATGGCGTGTGACTATCCCACCTGAGCTCCAGAGCATGTCCCTGTGCCACATCCCCGTGTGTTCCCCTCCCCCTCGTTCCTGTTCCCCCCTGTGCCTCACAGCGTGTCCCCCCCCAGATCCCTGTCCCCCTGTGTCCCCCTCATGTCCCCCAGTGCCCCACAGAGCACAGCAGATGACAAGTGGTATCAACACATGTTGGGGACACTGAGAAGACACACGGAGGGGACACAAATGTCACTTGGTTACAGAGGAAGGGGCAATAAATACCAGGCCCCCTCCCCCGGGGTTCTACCGGGGCAGGGGGGCTGAGGAAGGGCTGTGGGGGTGGCAACAAGGTCACAGTGACAACTCCTGGTGTCCTTGGGGTGTCCCTGGCCCCCCCTCCCCGCTGTCCCTCCCTGCCCACAGGCGGGATCCGGCGGGATCCGGTGGTGGCACTTCCCTGTCACGGGACGCAGCTGAGACACGGTCACGGGGCACCCGTGGGGCCCCCTCAGGGACACACCAGGGCCTCTCTGTCAGCCCCCCCAGACCTGTGGGACACCCTCAGGCACCTCACAGCACCCACAGGCACACCGTATCACCCCCAAGCAGCACCCTGGGGTGGGCTGGGGACCCCGTGGGGTGGGGACCGTCAGATGTGAGAACTCCCGGGAACTCCCAGGAGGGTTTCCTTGTGCTGGAGACCCCACGGGATGCCAGGGGCTGTTCTGGGGCACCAGGTGAGGTCTGTTGGGTGTGAAGAGGCTGGGAGGGCTGGGGAGGTGCCAGGGGCTGGGTGGGGGTGCTGAGGGCATCCTGGGGGTGCCCATCACAGGGTGGTCGGGCACAGAGGGGCAGTTTGGGGTGGTTGAGGCGGTTTGGGGATACCAGGGGAGTACCAGGGGGACTGTTAGTGGGTTTTGCTGTCCAAGGGATGTTCGGGAGGGCATTTGGAGGTCCAGGGAGGGTCTGGAGGGTCCTGGGGGAGGCTGGAGGTACCAAGGGGGGGGCTAGGGGGGGATTTGAAGGGCCAGGGGTGCTGAGGGGTCCCGGGGCCTCTATCGCAGCTCATCGGGAGCGAAGAGCCCGCGGGCGCGGCGCAGCACCGAGTCCCGGGCCGGGTCGTACGGGTGGTCCTTGGAGGGGATCTCGAGCACGGCGGGCAGGGCCCGGGCGTGGGCTGCGACTGCCGGCCGGATCTGCTCCGCCAGCGCTTGCGAGATCAGGATCATCCCCACGTCCTCCCGCGCCAGGAAACCCCTGGAACAGGGAAACGGAGGGTGAGGGGGGCACGGAGAAACCTCCCCCAGGGATGGGGCCCCAGAGCGGCGGTGGGACAGGGGAGTCCTGGGATTCCTTGGACCCCCTGAGCTCCTCTATGCACCCCTGAGACACCTCCCCCTGGACACTCCTGAGATCCCCCCGACACCTTCCCAGGGACTCCTGAGACCCTCCAGACCCCAAATCCCCCCATACCCTCCTGAGGCTCCCAAACCCTCACCCGAGACTCCCTGTTCCCTCTCCAACTGCCCCTGGGCCCCCTCTCCAACTGCCCCAGACCCCCCAGAACGCCCCACAGGACTTTTGGGATCCTCCGGACCCCAAAACTCGCCCAGCCCCTCCTCAGGAACCACCGACACTCCCTCCGGGGACCACCCCAAGGACCCCTCGGAGCCCCAGCCCCTCCCGAGCCCACTCAGAGCCCCCAGACCCGCGGGGACGCCCCGGTCCCCCCCCTCACCGAAAGGTTTCCTCGATCTCGGCCAGGCTCGTCTCCTTCTCCACCACCAGGAAGTTGGGCCGCCGGTGCTTGTCCAGCTCGCCGATGCCGCCCAGCAGGAACCCGGTTACCGTGTCCTCATCGCCCATCACGGCGATCAGCTTCCCGCGGCCCGCCATGCCCGAGCCGCGCCGGGACCGGGGCCCGCCGGGATCGGGACCCTCCGGGAGCCGCCGCCGGGAGCGGGATCGGGATCTGGAGCGACCGGGAGCGACCGGAACCCGCCGGGAGCCGCCGCCGCTTCCGGGTCCCGCCGCCCCCGTGCTGGACACGCCCCCCAGCTCGCCCCGCCCGCCCCCGCCCCGGGAACTCGGCACCCCGCCCCTCCGCCGGTGAGCCACGCCCACCCGCCGGTGAGCCACGCCCCCTCGCGGAGCCGGCTCCGCCCCCTCCGGTAACGCCCCCCGGTAACGCCCCCGGGCCCGCAGGCCCCGCCCCTCCCGCCGTTGTGGCCCCGCACGCGCAGCGCGCCGTGCCCTTGAGGGGACGCGGGGGCCACAGCGCCCCCTGCCGGACAGCGCGGGCACCGCGGGGCTCCCCCCGCCC